CATTATAATCACTTACTACTTTATAATTATTTTGGCCACTTTTGTCGCAATTATAATAAACGTGTCGTCACTTAATAAAGCTGTTACTATGTCTTATAAACTACTTAATAGTTATATTGTCAAATAACGAACATACCTTGTTAATCATTGTATAATGCGTGTATTGAAAGTATGTGTGTACTTGTCACAAGTGTTTGTGTCACCAAAGTTGGGCATTTGTCGAGTTTTTATAATGCAATATATAAATTAAAATTAATACATGAAACAATTGTTTTATCAATAATAAATTCATAACTTAAATGCAATATAAAATAAGTTTTTAATATACGATTAATTGACATTAATAATGTCACATTATGAATTATTTGTAATTTTTATTTAAATATTTTTATTTATTTTTAAAATCCAAAGTTTTTATAGTATTTAATGTATATTTAAAAATAAATTACAGTTAACTTTTAATTGAATAACAATTATAATATTTAATAAATTTATAAAATTTAACATTGTTTATAAAATACAGACAATCAACTATCATTGTTACAATGTTCAGCGTAAAAATAAATGTTTTAACAGAATTTATATGTAATGCACTTAATGTTATAAATTAATAAAACACGTATAAATAGGGTAGCTCCTAATTTATAAACTTGAAGAACATTTAAGATAAATTAATTTATTATATTAGTAAAAAAACATTACCGTAACTGCGATTAGATTACAAGCTTATTTTAAACTTAAATAAAAGAATCTGGGTTATATTTTAATTGTTTAGATAAAGACTTAACTTATTATAAAATCCACTAATATTAGTTCAAATACGTTAACCTACAGTATTTGCACTAACAATAATTTATAGCATCATGTTTTGCATTTTTCAATTTTACTGGGTTTGTTAATTATGAATATAAATTAAATTTTATTATATTGTTTTAAATAAAAAATTTAATATAATTAAACTATTTTTATATTTATTATTATGAGTACAATATATTGTTAGAGATCTAATCAACAACTTTATAGTTGTGATTCTAATCGACCATGGTTGCACTAGATAACTGAGAGACCTGAATTAAAAGTGCATGGATTAATTTAAACGTACATTAGACATTATCTGGTAGCATTAAAAAAGCTCTTAGAAAGTACTGATTTATTGATGATCACTTTCTGGAAATTTATAACATGATTAATAATACAATTAATTTTACGTGTACACATTATTTAAACCATATGGTTTATTATAAGTAACTTTCTTTATAATACACTGTATTGGTCCGTGGATACATAAATATTTGATCAAGATAATTATTTGACATGTAATAAATTATATACTAAATAACAGGATTTATTAGCCTTACTAATAATACTCTGGACAAAGTATAAAATGAGAAAGTTGACTTTTATTTTTAATCATAATAAGTTTAATAAATTAAACATTAATAAAATCTGTTATTACAATAAATATAAATGTTTTATAAAAGTAAGTAAAAATAACGTAAACCATGATTAATTTACTAAAATCACTAACTATTTACACAGTACTAACACTAACACTGGTGGCCATACACACGGCAACCGGTGCTGCGGTGCCCGACCCGTGTCCACCCAAATCAATCATCGACAAGGCTTGCTATCTATGGACAGCGTATACCCACTGTTACATATACTGCGAGACTGAGGGGCCGGTAAACATCGCACAGGTATTCAAAAACCTGTCCCAGGCCCTCGAGGGCAGGTCAAAACATTTCAACATGATCAGTTTGCGCAATCCGGGCGTCACTGAACTGCCCGCCAACGTATTGGCCGACATCACTACAGACGACTTGCGTATCGATGGCTCCCGTAATCTACAGCGCATACATCGGGACGCGTTCGCCGGCACCGCAGCCAACGTTAAACAGTTTGAGTTACGCAAAACACCGGTCACTGACCGCTCGGCCAACGGCCAGTGGGATATATTCGCGGCCATAAACTCGTTGAAAGCACTCGAGTACCTTATGGTGGCCGACACCGCCCTCACAGCCATACCGGACGGTGCCGTACACTCGCTGCCGGCGCTCGAAGAGATTTACTGGAGTTTTACGCCAGTAGTCAGTGTCGGCCGCCGGGCGTTCAACAATCTGCCGGCGCTTAAGAGTCTGTCCGTCAGTTACCACGGCTTACACCGGGTGTCGGACGAGGCGTTCACTATTGGCGGCGCCGGCGATAAGCCTTTTAAGCTATACCTATGCGAGGATGCGTTGAGTGGGGCGGCACAGGTGGGCGGTTGGCGGGCGCAGGCGTTGGCCGGTATCGGCCGCCCGACGCAACTCTATTTGCAACGAAACGGCTTTCAAGCGGTGAATCGGACTCTGTTTGAGCCGTTTGTGCGCCAAAACACTGGGAATAAGATATTTTCCGCAACCGTTTGCGCCGATAGTGGCAACGATTGGCTCCGCAATGAGTACCCCAACCAATGGGAAGACGACGATTGCAAAGATAGATCAGTCTAGTTAATTAAAAACATTAATGTAATTAATTGATGTTATATTAGTTAAAATAAACATTAAAATTTATACACAAATTTAGATGTAATTTGTTATGTATTATTAATAAAATAAAAATTTATTATAATATTAAATAATCTATGATAGTATTAGATAACTTGTTATATTGAATAGTATCAGGTATTGTATGCCAGATGCTGTTGGAGATGGCGTTGACAGCCATACCCGACGGTGCTGTACATAGACTGACCAGATTGGTTTTGCTAAATTCTGGATTTTCATTAAAATTCTGGTAATATTCCTGGACAAATTCTGGACAAAAGTGGTCTAAACCTCGACTAATTCTGGACAGGTTTTTAAGCAATAATAAAATATTTTATTCATGTTTTTAAGACGATTTTAGTTTATTTGTG